ACACTTTGGGATTTCTGAGATTGTAAGATCACTACACAGTGAGATCTCGCAAATAGCGCAAAAGATGAATGATTAGTCAATCAGTCTTTGGTGGTGATGTTGAGGGAAGATAATCAATCAGAACGCCAGGAGGACTCTCTAATCTTCTTGAAGTCATGCTGTGGCATGTATTCCATCAACTTAAGTGTTAGCTAAGCAATGCTTGGGAAGCTCACAGTAAGGTGAAAGAGGCACAAAAATTCAAAATACAATTGGACCGCACAGCAGAATGATATTAAATGAACTCAAGAGACTTGTTTAAATGGACAGAAGGGTTTTTATTCTGCCCACATTTTTTGGAATGCTTGATGCCAACACGGGATGCCAAACATGAAAGAAATCCAGATTCAGCCTCTAACATCTTGACACGGCACAGAGATGTCATGGAACCACAAGTGCTACTAACATTGCTTTTACATCATTATCAGTGCCACTTTCCAAAATGTAGCTTAGGTAGAAGTCCTTCCTGTCGCTAATGGTGTGCCAAAGGGTGAACTCCATAAACCCTAACATAACAGCAAATATCAGAGCTGGCAAAAGAAGAACAAAGCAGCAAAGGCTATTATCGTCTTCAGAGTGTGCTGGAGTAATCAAACTAAATTTAATCTACACACTCAAAAGCTGAGCAGGGGCTAAGAGCCTGCTGTTGGAATAAAAGAGACGTTCTTGTTATTCCATCCAGACATGAACACGTTGCTATTAAAACTAACAGTCAGAAGAATTTATGAAAATATATTTTATAACTAGATACATTTTTCTTCTAAATGCTGCAGTTCTGATTTCTGACATCATGAACTGCAACAGAAGTAGCACAACAATAAAGGGTTAGGGTCTCTTTAAGGACTGCCAATGAACTGCTTTCCTACACAGCCAATTACTTCTCCATGTCTGTCAGTCAAAGAAAAAATGACTGAACCCATTAGATCAAACCTTTGCCACTGCTCATAATGCACCTCTTAGGCCTCATTAATCTGAGTCAGCGGCACACAGCCAGCGGTGCTCAACAAGGCAATGAGAGCCTCCCCCACACCCCACGTGAGTCCTCTCATCTCCGAAAACAGTGCTAATCAAGCTATCCTTATTACCCGACTCACTGTCATGTGAACAGCATTCACTCCTAACTGCTCTCATTACGGGCCCATCTTCAGAGACGTCTGACTGGAAAGAAAGTCTGATCGCATTAATATTCATGACAATAATTAGTATTCTAGGTCACTGAATATTCATGCTATTATTTTGGTTTTATGGGTTGGACAAAGTCCTTACTGTCAGCGTAGAGGGGACTTGCATTCTCAGGCTTTTATAGATCAAAATTCTGTCACGTTCACATCCTGTGCTGAGTGGAAACCTTGTTACGTGACACTGGCAGCTTGCTGACCGAAAGTTTACATCTTTGAAGTTTACAGCTGCGATAAATAAATTTATCGGATGAAACAAAAAAAGAATTAACAAGGCAATTATAATTCTTGTTAAACTGCACAGAACTGGCATATGTGGTCTGCACTCTTTACTTGCAGAAATGCTATCTATATAAAAGATGTGCAGGTTTACTGATCTCACACAAATAAATATAAATAAGTTAATGATGTCCTGGAGGGTTTTGAAAGAAATTTACGAGAGGTTTCAGATTAATGTCAGCAAGACAATTAATAGTCAAAACACGTCAGCAAACGCCTTCTTTATGTCGAGACCCAAGAGTTGCTAAAAAAAAATTGATCAACTTATTTTAAGGGGCTTGAGAAGTAAATTAGTCCATCTTGGGTACCAAAGGGTAAAGAATTGATATAACAGATCGCAAAAGGAATATATCAGAAATTGGAAGCTGTTGGACTAGAAACGGGTGTTTTTGAAGCACAGAAGTCTGTACTTCCCTCTAAATACCGCAACCAACTATATATCACATCACAGAGCATTATTCTATTGAGCTATTTTGCGCTATATCAATCCAGTTTTCTCTATTCCTCTCGTAAAGATGCTGACTCACACTGAGTTATGTATCCGATTCCACAGGCACTGGCTCCAAGCCTCTATCTCTCCTCGAGTGCCACAATCTTGTGTATATGAACCCAGCCAATGCTGGTATACTACCTGCTCAATTAAGGTGGTTGGTCTATTAAACAAAAAAAACATTTTCTTTGAACAGTATCAAAGTTAATCAAATTATACATCATTTTTATATAACCTTTTCAATTCTACAAGCAGTCCTGCTAGCTAGTATACTCTTTAGGTTCAAACTTGGTGCTACATATTTTTGACTCAAATTCTTGCCTTTTCTATTATGTTCTGGACACTTCTTTATGACAAAGAGCAAATTTGACTTCTGAGGACGAGTCATGCTGGACTCGGAATGTTAACTCTGTTTCTGTCTCCACAAATGCTGACAGACTGCTGAGTTTCTCCAGCACTTTGCTTTTGTTTCCAATTTGACTTCTGATGCCTTCTAACAAAATTTACCAGTCATATTTAACTGTATTAATTCTATCCAGAGGATACAGTGAGCACTTAAGCAAGGCTTCTTAGAGAGCATGCCTGTGACCTCCAACAACCCAGAATGACAAGGGCTACAGGCACATGGAAACACCACAACTTACAAGCTCCTCTCCAAGTCACACAGCATCCTCATTCTAGCTGGGTCAAAAATTCTAGATCTTCCTCCATAACAGCATTGTTTGCATATTCACCACAGGAAGTGCAGCAGTGCAAGGTAGCTCATCACTACCTTCTGAAGAGCAACTCAGGGTGGTAACAAATGGTGGCCTTGAGTGGTGCACTCATGCTGAGCATTTTTTTTTAGAAAGAGCAGTCTACAATGAGTTCTTGCAATTCATATGCTTGATTCTTTTAAAAAGAGGACCCATTTCTTCAAAAATTCAATTTTTAAAAACGTCACCTGAACGTGGACATCTGAAAATGAAAGAATTGCATATATAGAGTGATTTTCACAACCACTGTATGTTCTAAAAGAGGTTTACAACAAATGAAGTGCTTTTAAAGTGTAGCCACTCTTGCAGTGTAGGGAACATGGAAGTTAATTTGTGCAGGGCAAGCTCCGACTATCGGAAATGAGACAGTGCCCAATTTCTTTTTAAGTGATGGTGATTGAGGGGTAAGGGTCAACCAGGATATCAGAGATAACTCTCCTGCTCTTCAAAACAGGGCCATGGATTTTTTTTTTATAAACAGTAACCTGAGAGCAGCACAGCAGTGCAGCACTCACTCGATATCACACTGAACTATCAACTTTGATTGTGTGGTCAAGTCCAAGAGTGGGCCTTGAATGTGGGACACTGTGACACAGAGGCAAGGCTGCCACTAACTCAGCCACATCTGACAATCAATAAAGTAATTGTTCAGCAGTGTTTAGAGAAATTACATTCTTATTAAACATGCATTTTCATGGCAGATGTAGAATGAAATGATTTTATGGAGCTTGTTCAATACCTATTGTACAATTGTTTGCTTTATTGGGGCGGGGTTCAGTCTACTTTGAATTCTGAGTCCTGTTTACTTCCTCAGGAAAAGTTTGAACTATCCAATAAAGGACAAAGTTTAATTTGCATGGTTTTTACTTGAAGTAACAGATCGCTCAAGTGAAACAATTTGAGCAAAAAACACAGGACATGTCCACATCTCATGAAAGAATAAATAAAAAAGGAGTAGATTGTATCATTTTCGACAAGTATCATTTCCTCCAAGATAGTGCGCTTTCCCCATATACTATACAAATAAATGACATAGTTAAGGATAGTCACCCTTAAAGTGAGGAACCAGTTCCACCAATAAATCGACACCAAGTGTGAATTAAACATGATTAGTTGTCAAGTGCTTACTTGGAGACCATCACCATTTTTCTTTGCTCCTTTCTACCCAATGTTCTCCTTTGAGCAGCCTCTCATTCCTCAATTAAAACATTAAGAGCCTATTTATGCTGTGTCTGCTCGATTCCGAATACAGTGCATTGGTTTGTCAATGATTTCAACGCTAACTCCAGCTTTACACCCTCCTGCGTTCTCCCCAAACACTTTATCCTCTGTATCTAAGCTCTAATAAGAATGCACGCACCACAATATCACGATGTCACTCAACAGCTTTAAGGATAGCAACAAACATACTTTATTTTCTTAAGAGTCATTTTGTCGAATGGTTGGGACGGCAGACACTTCAAGCAAAAATTCAACATACCTTTGACACCTTGAAGTTAATTACCCTCCCCACCACATTTTTTAAATGCAATTGCATAATGATTTAATGTCTTGATTAACTCTCTTATTTTCAATGGGATAACAAATGGATTATTATTGCGCATATAGGAAGGTTACAGGAATATATCAACTGGTGTGCCTTCATGGGAAATTAAAGCCTCAAGTCAGTGATCAAGCTCACTGATTTGCATTGACAGCTTTGCTCGAGCCCCTTTTAAAAGAGCAGGAAAAAGATACTTTCCATTTTTTTTTATGGGTTGGGTGGGGTTGGTGGAGTTGTTCTAATTTCACTGTCTTCAACCTCTGGACAAGATAAGAAAGAGTATCTGATACAAAAAGTACTTGTTTTCCCACATTTAATTTGCTAATTATCTTTGACTTAGCCTTCTCTATTCTCCTTACAATTCACAGGCAGCTGTTCATCTCAGTAACTGACGCAGCAATGTGCTAGCCACTTTACTGATAGCAGGACAGATCACTTTGCTGCTTCATTAGCTGCACAACTGGCTGGGAATCACACAGAAAAAAGGAGTAAAAAAAGAATTTTACATTGGCTTCAAACTGTACCATACTAAGAAAGCTGACTGGCATTATATTAGTGAGGGCACCTGCAGGCGAATTGAAGAGCTGGTCTCCACTTTGCTCTGGACACAAGTCTGGTTCCTAGTTATTCATGCCTTGTGTGCACTTCAGGACGGTTACAGACATGCGTGCAATTTCCAGTGGTTAATTTCCCTGAGATCATGTTGCATTACTCACCTGGGTTCTGCGTAATGTGCAAATTGCTCAGGTCTTTGGGCAGACCATTTGTTTTAGGACTGGAGAGGGGGGCACAGGCCGAGGTTGCACGAGGGGGCCGCTTTCCAGGAACCTTGACTGTAGTCCGAAGGAGGTCAATCTCCTTTCCATGGACATTCTGCATGTAATCCTAGGCACAGACATAGAAACACTTTTAGAATGAGTTTCCTAAATAAAAATAGTAAAATGAATAAGTACAAAGTGGATTTAAACACCTTCGAGAAATCTTTAACCGCAAGAGGAAAAAATATCTTATTCGCCAAATTTGATGTCACCACTAAAATATATCATAAAATCAACTTTAACATGTAGATAAAACAGGTATTTTTAAAAAAAACACTAGATTTTAAAATTCCTTTTATTTTACATTGACTCATTTTATTCTCATTAAACTGCCAGGAAACTAGCAGAGATATTTACAAACATCAAACTCCAGTTATCACACGTGTGACAGAATCAGAAATTCAAGTCAGCTCGTCCTGTTTTTCATGTGCAAATGCTGTCTCTGTAATTAATTGTGTCAGTTGTGTCCCAAGTACTGATCAAAACAGAAAGATCTTAACAAGACACAAGGGCAATTCAGACCAAAGTACTCAAACAACTCTTAACAAGTCACTGGAGACTACTTGATGCAAGTCTCCACAAGTGTGGTCCTTGCAGACCTCTGCCCCATAACAGCTTGAAAAGAGTAATTGCAAACCCATTTGCATTTATTGCTGTTCATCAACCCCAAAAAGCGTAACTGGGAGGGCCTCTGGGCCATTGCTACTCTCACAAAGCATCAATAAACTAGGTGACCGGGTGCTCAAATCCACCCTCTTTGCTCCTATGCTGCTGCTTGTTTTTACAGCAGGCTCTAATTATGTTGCATCTATTGCCATCCACTTAATTAGCTGCATTAATGTGATTTCTTTTCACATAGTCAAGCAATTAAGAGCTATGATTGAGTTTCATTCAATTAGCCTCAACAAACATGCTAATTGATGCCCCAGATGCAAATGAGGTGCGATGAGGGAATCCTGCTGGCGATCCGCAATTCTGTCACAAAACCACAGCTCTCTAAGCACTGACAGGGCGACAGCATCAGCTCAGATACCTCCAGCGCAGCCTCTTGCGACTTCCACTGCACAATGAACTGGTGTCTTGCTAATTGTCGCTGCCGTTTATGAGCAAGTTATCGAGGAAAACAGACACCGTGCATTATTAGATCAAAAGAATCAAGAATTCCCGCACACTTTTAAATAAGGCAGCCTATGACTGTTGAATAATTCTGCCTTTTAAAAAGGAGAGATGTTACAGTCTCTTCCAGGGCACAGGCAGGTCTCAGACAAATGCAGTACATAGAGCAGCCACAAACATTTTGACTCAAAATCTCTACCACAACAGAGACAAAGAGAATTTTGCTAAGTTTAGCAACATGATTGCAAACTTGAGTAAAAATTATTTGAACAGCCCAAGCAACTGGCAGCACTACTGTGCTCTGATTCCATCTAAACATGCCAAGATTCTCCAGTCAAAGACTTAATGTTGCAAATGTTGCCTTCTCCAAGCAATGATGCAAAGTATTAGGCCATTATCACTGTTCATCATGACATGCAGCAACGTTCCAACAACAATCATGATACAAAGTGAGGTCATATTAACAGCAGTCAGGACACAATAGGATGACAAAGAACACTGAATAAAAGGAGCTGCTATTTGAGTTTCATTCTCTGAATAAAATGAAACTTGAACCTTACTGGCAAAGGTGCTCAGTTCAGTAGAATACATTTCTCTACAGGGATTTTCCTATATATTTATTTACATTCACTCAGACACAGACACACATGTGCACACACCAAACAACTAGAGGTTAGCATTTATTGATATGTCAAGAAGAAAAATTTCAGAGTGGACATCAAAACAGTTTAGAGAAATTGTTAGTGAGGATTGCCTATTGGACCGATCAATGATTTACAAATTCACATGCTGCTTCATCAAATGGCAACGTACATTTCTGTCGGGTTCAGTGAAGCCAGGTTGTGATTTATTCCGCTGTGGCTTGTGCCCTTCAATTCGACAAGGATTGGGTTCCAATATTCAAGCTACAGCGATACATTCCCACCAACACTTTCCTTATCAGCCCATGGTACAGAGCAACATCCAAGAGTTACTTCAAGCTATAGTGACCTACAGTTTGAGAGGAACATGGAAATCCAATAATCCTGGTCCATGGAAGTGCAGATCTGTGGGTTGAGTTTAAGTAGAAAGATCTGCCAAACGTTGGGGACTGATTGAACCTAGGTCAATGCAATAGTAGGAAGAATATCCCAGGCGAAATAAAACTATTTGACAACACAAATGCAAATGTTTCTGCGTGGAAAAAGGAACCTGTTGTTCCACAACCTTGGGATGTCTGCAAAGTACTTCACAGCTGATAAAGGACCCTTGAAGTGCATTTCATGAAAATGTGGCAGCCAATATGGACACAGAAAAGCACCATAAACAGCAAAGTAATAAAGACCAGACAGGCAATCAGTTTTCATTTAGTAATATTGGTTGAGATAAATACCAGCCAGGGCCCTGGGGAAATGTCGCAGTTCTTCAGCAGTTAATACCAATGGATTGTTTACATCACCAGAGATAGCAAATCTTTACTTGGGTAAACGTGTGGGGTTGTTGGATGGAACTGGTGAAATCCCAGGGGATGAGATGGACAGAATGTTGGCAATAAATTTACAATCACAATCTGACTGCACAGATAACTTTCACTCCCTGCCTTTTAATGCACTTTAGAAAGGAAAAAGTCTTGATATCAAGGTTTTTTTTCTCTCTATCACAAAAACCACCCTTTCTCATGTGTCCTGGCCAATAATTATTAAAGAACCATCATATTAAAGTTATTGACCAAATGACCTGGTCATCATCACAGTACTGCATGTGGGTTGTGCTAAGCACAAATTGTCTGCCACTATGTTTCCCACAAGAAACAGTGATTGCAATTCAAAACATAGTTCATTGGCTCCAACAGACTTTGGGAAATCCTGAGGTTGTGGAAGACATGAGAAATACAAGCTCACTTTTGACCAACAATAATGAAATCCCAGGTATCAGTGATGTAATGTAACTCATCCTGCAACTTCCTTTCTCCCGCAAATTCAGTGGAGGGCAACAACAGGCGTCTCTGCTAACATCCTTGTTTTGACGTTCTAACTAAATCTAGCAGAATATGTAGACCAGGGGCATGGTGCAGGTCCTTCAGCACAGCTTGCTGATGAACTGAAATGTACTACTAGGGGCATCTGAAACAAAACTTACCTAAAATGGTCTGGCATCTTTTCTGAAGTTAAGAGCAAGACAAGCAGGTGAGCATATTTCATGAATTGGCATAATGGTTTGATTGGTGATGTCAACTTTGTTTTGGGTGTAAAGCGAAGAACAGCATTTGATACAGCACAGACCTAATTTTTCTACAACTAATAAACTGCAGACAAAGTGCAATTGGTGTTATAACATATTAAATGCAATAGCCAACTAGTGCACAGAAAGTTCTCACGAACAATGAGATGATGATCAGATAATTAGTTTTAGCAAGATCTGTGATGGATAAACACTCAGACTCTCACATTCACCTACGGAGCTAGGTGGAGCCTCAGTTTAACATTCCCTCCAAAAGACAGCACCTCCAACAGTCCAGCATATGCTGAAGACCTTGTGGTCTTGAACCTACAACATCTTTTTGGCTCTGAGGCAAGAGCAATATCCACTTGGTCATAACATTCTGTAACTGTAAATTTGTCAGGAATCAACGGCTTCATATTAGAAAAGTAAAAGTTGGTAGGGTAGATGTGAAAGGAATCTTTTAAAGAGCAGCCTTTTGGCAGCCAATTTACATTGTTAGAAATTGCTGACAGTTCATTCAAAGCTTGCCTATTTGGTGCAAAAACCAAACAGATGGGAGTCCCATTTCTAAATGGGTTTTCAAACAATGCAATTTCTCCCTGTGATCTTGTTTTGCGATTTCCCTGATGTAAAAGAAAATCTTCATCAATAATATTTTTATCTTCTCCACCAACTTCCTTAATTGTCTGGTAACTGAAATTATACTTAACAATCTAATTGTGTGGATCTTCGGGTGTCATTAACAATTAAACAACTTGAATTAAGGAATGCACTAATTGGGAAGCCAGGACAGTTGGCGCTCTCATTCTCATATAAGCAGCACACACTACAGTTGACCTAACGTTGCTGTCATATCCATGCATTTTCTCTTCACAGCCGCGCAGTCTGGGTTGTACATAGCATTATATCCTTCATGAAGTTAGTGGTATTTAACTTTTTGAAGTTAAATACTTGAAGGTGTATTAGGTACATGTTGACAATAAATAACAAACAAGTGGGACTAACTGCATAGCTCTTTGAAAGAATCAGAACCAATACAATGGGTCAAATGGCCTTCTTCTGTATTGTTTTATTCTGCTCTTTTTTTTAAGAAAAACTACATTTAAAACTCCTGGTGGCACCCAGCTGCTGCATTGTTTATTTTACCTCTCCACTTTCAACTAAACACTGCAAAGGCTGTGGGAAGTTCAAGCAACGGGAATCATGTAAAGATACTTATAATTTAACCTAATTTCCAAAGTGGTTCTTACTACTGTGTTCATTAGAAATTATGTCCTGTTTCAATATCATTAGAAAGTAAAATTCAATTAGTAGGGAGCTTTCTGGACCGAGGGGTCTTGGGTTAAAATCTGCAGTGGGACATCATAGCACACGTGGCTGTGACTGAAGGTGGGAAATAGCACAGTGTTTTATCAGCTTGCCTATGGTCATGTTGGAGGTGTCATAAACAAGGCCTGCATTCAGTTGTGTACAAGCATTAGTAATTTCAGCCATGTACAGGCGCCGCTACGACAGCGGTTCCAGCTGCACACAGGTGCCGCTGTGACAGCGGTTCCAGCTGCACACAGGCGCCGCTGTGACAGTGGCTCAAGCTGCATACATGCAGCTGCAATTGTCTCAGTGTTGATATGAAGTAAATCCAGCTGAGTACAGATGTTGCCACGTCTTTTAAGACCTTGTGCAAATGATGATGTGGTAGCGATTACAGCTGTTTGTAGGTGTGGTCATGGATGTGGCCAGAATTGATAT